GTACTGCGCTACTTGCAAACACTTGGGCCTGCGAACACCTCCGTCGACACTCAAGATTGGTGGAATGACGGTATCGACGCGTGCTTTCCCAAAGCTATGGTCGACGGCGTGATGCGCGTGCCGTCTCTCTAACCACCTCGCAATCTAGTTCGAGATACGAGTCTTTGATACGTATATACATGTAGGAACATGCTAGGCGTTAACTCACAAAGACACGACGTCGTGAGTCCCTTTATGGCTGCAAGCACGCGCGACGTCTCCTAGAAGGAAGTTTTGGCGGCTAGCCACGAGTTGCAAGTCGTCCAGTGGCCATGACAAGGCGTACCAAAGGCTTCAACGGCCTTGGTCGATCAAAGCCCACTTGCCGCTGACAGTGCACGAGGCCATTTTCTGTGAGTTGGCTGGATGGAAACAAAGCGACGTACCCAGCACGATCGGGCCGAGCGCGCCAGAGCTGTGGATCGGTGAGAAGCGCCAACCCATCTTTCACACTAAATGCATGTCCTGGGCGAACGGACCTCGAAACGTCTAGATATAGTGTATGTTGAAGCTGCCGCCATTTCGACTCTTCAACACACAATTGCTACACAACACACGACATAAACCTTGGTACCCTCCTACCCCTTTTCTTCCATCCTTCACCTGTAAGTTATGACCACTAGATTATGAGCTTTAGCTTCACCACGAAAGAACGTTGGTGCAACCTTTGGGCTTTTCAAGCGCAGGCAGTATCTCGGTCGTCTTGCTCGTTGTTGTGAACTGTAGTCTATCAAACAGATCATGGCCAGTCGCTGGACGTTGTTCGTACAATGCGTATCCTCGCAGAGGCGTCATAAGTATATGCTGCCACATTACCAAGTCAAAGCAGCTTCAAATCCAAGCTGCTGGGACGCAACGTATCTGGATAATCACCCCGGGTAACGTTCGGTGCATTTTGAGATTGCCGTTTGCAACGAGAGGACGCATGATGGCGACCTTCCGCAGCGTCGTCATCGGTCAGCCCGATATGGCGGCCATCGTCTTTGGCTACCAGTTCGGCGTCTATGAGGACGTACGCAATGTCTTTGTCGCCTGCAACGAGCTACTCGAGTTTGATGTGCGTCGCCGTTGCTACGACTGGGACGCGTCATTCTCCTCCACGATCGCACCCGGTGCCGCGTGGGCAGGTGAAGGACATCACGATATCCGCACCTCGAAGTATGCTCTCGATGACTCTCCGTGGGACGCTCGCCTGCCGCTGCACGTGGCAATCGTCCATGGCTCTGCGCACGAGGTGAAGCGCATCGTACGGTGCCGGCCCGACCTCGCCTCTGAAGATGCGATTCTCTTGGCCTTCTCACAACATCGCCTCGAGATTGTCGAGCTGCTATTGGACCTACGAGGAGCCATCCCCGAGCTACGTCGATGCTGCAAAGTCACGGCAGGTGTGTTGCATCTTCCTTGGGCTGCGTGGAATGTTACTTTTGATGTAGATGGCTCTGCGCAGCGCACGTCGTACTCGGTAGGAAGTTTGGTGCAGAGTATGCTCACCTATGGCGACACGAAGAGTGTGGTATTGCTACAGCGCTTTGGCCTGCGCCCTGACGATGTGACCTACGGCGACAAGCTCCTCGCGATCGAGTCGTCGACGCTCGAGCACGCAACGCTCGCCCTCGACCTCTTTCCGTGGTTCCACTACCCACAGCTTTTGGGCCATGTCGCGAACCGCGGCTTTTTGCCGTTGGTGCAAGCGCTCCACGAACGAGGTTTCTCGTGCTCGACGTACGCCATGGACGCAGCCGCCACCAATGGTCATCTGGGCGTCGTCCAGTTCCTCCACAACCACCGCACAGAAGGCTGCACGGTCAAGGCGCTCAAGGGCGCGATTCTTGAAGGCCATCTTGACGTCGCTCGTTTCCTCATCGAGCACCGCACCGAAGGCGCACCGCCCAACGTTCTTGACGGGGGCGACTACAAGGAGGGTTCAGTACCTGCACAGCCTTGGCACGTTTGACTGGACCGTCAGCGCCGTCGATAACGCAGTGGCGGATGGCAATCTCCCTGTCGTCCAGTTCCTCTTGACCCACCGACACGAAGGCTGCGCCCGGGACGTCGTCGTTCAAAAAGCGCTCGAGCGATGTCATCTGCACGTTGCAGAGTACCTCCTCGCTCTCGGCTACCCGTTCCCGACCTCGATGCCATTTGTGGGCGGGTTTTTTTTTGGCAAGCCCTGCATCCTTGGCGTGCTGCAGCTTTTGGTCAAGCACGGCGCGTCTTGGGACGACGCCTGGATGGTCTTTGCGTGCAGTCGTAACAACGCATCACTCGTCCAGTTCCTCCACGAGCGCACTTTCGTTTTGTTTGGGCTTGGTGTTTTTGGGTTCGGGGTTTTGCATTGGTGGTTGGCCGTTGTTGGCTTTTTTTTTGGGCACTTTTTTGCAGTTCTTTTGGTTGGTGGGCTTCCGGACGGGGTTTGGCTCTGGTAGCTTGGGCTTGGCTTGGTGCTTTTTGCGGGGGCCCCCGAGCTGCGTCGTCTCGACGAGCTGCTTCATTCGGCAGTCAAGACCCGCGACATGGAGGCGGCGCGCTTCTTCCTATCCGCCGGCATTGGCAAGCCGCGCGACTGCCTCCTCGAGATTGCGGGTCGTCGAATGCACGTGACGACAAGTCCGCTCTTGCTTCCGTATTGTATGGACGCCACCAACCCTCTCGACAACGTCCTCTTTCTTCTGGATCTTGTCGCGCTGCCCGACCGCCGCCGCTCGACAATTCTCCAGCTCATCACGCCCGAGCTCACGTACCAAGGCAAGAAGGCCAACCAAACTACCCCGCTTGCACGAGCGTAGCGGCGCGAGCGACGACATTACTGACGGCTGGCAAGGTCATCGACTTGGCGTTGGCCCTCACCATTGGTCATCTCAAGACGACAGACGCGATCGCATTGGTCCATGACGACGAGCTCAAGGCGCAGCTCACGCATCTGCTCGCAAAGAAGTGCAAGCGCTCGACGGACCAACGCAGCACGGCGCAAACTCGATGTGTAGGTGTTTGATTCATAGCCTAGTGGTGTAGTTTAGCCTCACTAAATGTCATTCGATGCATTTGCGGCCTTTCTATCTTCAACCCTAGCATTTCGAATGCAACCACCTGCATATCGATCCGCGTATGGACGCTGCTGGCGAAACCTTGCACGCGCCGTCCTTGCCCGAGATATCGACGCCATTGACTTTGAGTTTCAGCATGCGTCGACCAAGTCCAGAAGCTCGCCTAAGGTCGATTGCATCAGTCAGAACAAGAGACTGCTGTAGACTTGTTCCAGTGTAGTTCTTGGGCGCGGCGCGACCTTGTCTTGCTCTCTGTCGCTTGGCGCTGACGTGACGACGCTCGCGATCTGACTCAAACGGATGCAAATGACAGAGGTCGTCGAGAGACGCCAGCGACTAGGCAGCGACGGGAAATCGCATGGAACATGGCTCAGGAAGCTGACGGGCAATAATGACCTTGCTCAGCGCGGGCTTGGATACGATTTGTACGAGTATATATATATATATGAGCGTGTTTCGCGTTATCTTCATAGTTACACAAAGGCTTCGCATACGTAGAGACTAGCAATCTCCTTCTTCTTCATTCGCTCGCCGGTCCGTGGCTACGCAGGCGGCGGCGCGGGGGCTCGTCTGGCTCTTCTGTCGTCCGTATATTGAGTAAAAGGACTAGACAGCGCAAAGTTATGCCAAATCTATTGGCTAGTTGGTCCCGCCGATAGCAATGCTTCTCATCCATGGAGAGCATGGATATGTTGAGGTCTTAACAAAGTGTCCTGGACAGAACTATGGACAATGCGTGTGAAAGGTTCGTTGACCATGCCAACAATGACTTGACCAAAAGAAACGACTTCAAATGACCGTGCCTTTGTTCCAACGTGGCCCGCCTCAGGCCATCATCCACGATGATGACCTACGCACCCATCAACGGCGCCAACTCAACATGCCACTGCAATGGCGGTCGGCCTGCAGACGCTGGTAGCAGTGTTATCATCTACGCAACATCGTTGTCTTCTCGCTCACATAACTATCTTGGATAGCTATACATTGGATAGTATAGTTTGAGACCGCTAGCGAGACTCGGCTTCGGTGGTCCGAGCCAAGAAGACTCAGGCGTGGGATCGCCGCATCGGCTTTCTGAGTCGGTACACCAGCTGGTTGCGGTTTGCTCTGTTTACCGGATGATTTCTCAATCTCAAACGCAAGACGTATCGCGATCTCGGTGCTTGTTGGGCCATATTTGCTGCAACGACTGCGTCATCGATGTCATGTAAAGAAGCCATCGCTAGTGTTATACGTGGGAATATGACGCGAAGGTGACCCCAGCGTAAAGGCGTGAAAGACGGCTTCTCAACAATCAGCTCAATTCATTTACCAAATGGATTTGAGTTTCAGTGGCACAGTATCCGGACAAGGATTTGCCGTGGCGACTTGGCACCATTTTGAGATTGCCCGTGCCATGCAGTTTTCGCCGTCCGAAGAGATTGTGCCCAAGCACGAGACGCTCGCGAGCCACCTCCTCCAGCTCTACCCCGAGTACGACGGTCGCAACACAGTCGTCGCCATCTTCGACACGGGCGTCGACCCCGGCGCGCCCGGCCTCCAGTTCACGTCCGACGGGAAGCGCAAGATCATCGACGTCGTCGACGCCACGGTAGGCTCCATCTCGTCCCACCACGCTCGTATCCTCATGTCTCTGGTGTAGGGCTCGAGTACGTCCTGCTTCCTTCTATCTCGCCCGTAGAATGTGACGTGTGCTGCATGTAGGCGACGTGGACATGTCGACCGTGCTCACGCCGACCGACGGCAAGCTCACATTGGCGTCCGGTACGCCCCCTCGCGTCTTTCTCGCCACAAAACTCAATGCGTCTTTGGAGCGTAGGCAAGGTGCTCACGCTCAACCCGGCATGGAGCGCGACCGAGTTCCGCGTTGGTACCAAGCGCGCGTACGATCTGTACCCCGACCCGCTCGTCGCGCGCATCAAGACGGAGCGTAAGGAAAAATGGGACATTGCGGACCGCGACGCCAAGAACGCGGTCCAAACCGCGCTCGCTGCGTGGACGGCAGCTCATGGCGCGGCGCCGACGCCGGCCGACCTCGAGGTGCGCCTCGACCTCCACGCCCGCCTCGAGCTCCTCGAGAAGACGTCGTTCGAGGACCCGGGTCCGATCTACGACTGCGTCACGTTCTTCGACGGCACGCATTGGCGCGCGGCCGTCGACGCGTCCGAGTCGGGCGACTTTACGTCCGTGCACGCGATGACCAACTACCGCGTCGCGCACGAGTGGAGTACGTTCAGTGACGCGTCGCAGCTCAACTACGTGCTCAACATTTACGACGACGGCAAGGTGCTCAGCATCGTCTGCGATGCGGGGTCTCATGGCACGCACGTGGCCGGCATCGTCGCTGCGTACGACGCTGCCGACGCCAAGAACAATGGCGTCGCGCCCGGCGCACAGATCGTGTCAGTCAAGATTGGCGACTCGCGTCTCGGCAGCATGGAGACTATCGTTGGCATTGCCCGCGGGTACGTACCGTCCTCATGCTGCTCTTGTCAAAGATCGTTAAACTCTAGGGCGCTCGCGGTGCTCGACAACAAGTGTGACGTGGTCAACATGAGCTACGGCGAGTTTGCGTCCAAGCACAACAGCGGTCGCACAATCGACGTGATCCAAGAGCTCGTCGACCGCCACGGCGTCACGTTTGTGAGCAGCGCTGGCAACGAAGGCCCGGCCCTCGGCACGATCGGCGCGCCCGGCGGTCCTCCTGCACCGTTACCACGTAGTAGCTCACAACAATGCGTAGGAACATCGGGGTGCATTTTGGGTGTCGGTGCGTACGTTTCGCCGGCTATGATGGCGGCCGAGTACTCGATGAAGGACACGCCGTCGAGCGCCGTCGGGCTGTACACGTGGTCGTCGCGCGGCCCGACGTACGACGGCGACCTCGGCGTCAACGTCTGCGCGCCCGGTGGCGCCATCACGTCCGTGCCCAACTGGACGCTCACGAAGAAGATGCTCATGAACGGCACGTCCATGTCGTCGCCCAATTGCGCCGGCAATGTCGCGCTGCTCATTAGCGGTCTCAAGGCGCAAGGCATCGCGTACACACCGTACTCGCTCCGCCGCGCACTGGAGAACACGGCGGTGTCGGTGCCCACGGCCGAAGCCTTCTCGATGGGCCGTGGTCTCATTCAGGTGCTGCCCGCGCTCGAGTACCTCGTGTCGCACGCCAACACGTTTGACGGCAGCAAGAAGTTTCCTCTCTACCACGACATTCGCGTACCGAGCCGGAACAACGACCGTGGCATCTACCTCCGCGAAGTGGCTGACCTTGCCGACAACAGCCTTGCCGTGTTTGTGACGCCAGTGTTTCACAAGGACGCCGAGAACACAGACCGCATTGCGTACGAGACGCATCTTCGCCTCGTCCCGTCCAAGCCGTGGATCAAGTGCGCCGACGCCCTTACGCTCTTGCACCAAGGTATTCCTGCCGTATAGGATATGGATACGGCGACACTCACGTTATGGATGTAGGCCGTAACTTTAAGGTCGACGTGGATACGGCTGTCTTGACGCCCGGTGCGCACTATGGCGAAGTGGTTGCGTACGACCGCGAGAACCCGAGCCGCGGCCCCGTCTTTCGTATCCCCGTGACGGTTGTCAAGCCCGAGGTAGCCATCGCATCCATATGCCAACGGCAATATGCACCATACAGTGTTGTAGATTTTGCCGGCCCCCGAGACGAGCCAGGTCAAGGCCATGGTGCCCGGTGCGATTGCGCGCACGTTTTACCATGTGCCCGAAGGCGCAACGTGGATGAACGTGTCCGTGTCGCGCCGTGCCGATGGCTCGGAGCCCAACCGTGTGCTCTATGTCTTGCACTTGATGCAGCACGCGCTGCATGCGCGTCAGAGTGCGACGTCGACGCACCATTATCTGTATGTCGACAGCACGGGCGACGTGACGCATAGCTTTCCGGTTCGCGCGGCGTCGACGGTCGAGCTCTGCTTGGCGCAAAACTGGAACTCGATTGGTGGGACGACCGCGCACATTGATGTCGCGTTTCACGGCATCGAGCCGACGCCGACCGCGGTATGTCATTCTGACATTGTTGACGGTTTCATTTCTAAGACGACGCACGATGACAGGTCCATTTGGTCGGTGGCGATGCGTACGCGCGCGTCGACTTGCGCTGCCCGCTGCGCAACGAAGCGATCGCGCCCAGCGCCGCCCTCAACAAGTGGACGACGCGTTTGCGTCCGACGTCGGCGGTGGTCTCGCCGCTCGGTCCCCGCGACAAATTTTCGGAAAACCGCCAGACGTACCAGCTGCTGTTGACGTACACGCTCAAGCAAGCCGAGGACGGCAAGGTCACGCCGTCGCTGCCGCTGGTCAATGGCCGTCTCTACGAGTCGCCGTTCGACGGCCAAATGCTCTTGGTGTTTGACGAGCAGAAGAAGTACATGGGCGTTTCGGACGCGTACCCGCGCGCGATCTCGCTCAAGAAGGGCACGTACACGGTCCGCGCGCAGCTCCGGCACCAAGACCCGTCGATCCTCGATGGGTTGAAGAGCGCTGTGCTTGCGGTCACGCGCGACATCAAGGACGTCGCGATCACGGTCTACGACAGCCCGGACGGTCCGTCGACGAACGGCAAGGCTGTGGGCACCAAGTACGCACATAGCATTTATGGCACTGCTAAGTGTTCTATGACTAGGACGCTCAAGAAGGGCGTGTACTCGACCGTCTTTTTGGGGGAACCGGCGTTCGAGAAGCTCCCCAAGGGTCTCGCCGCCGGCGACACGCTGGCAGGTTCGATCACGTACGGCCAAAAGCACAACCACTTCAAGGGGTATCGTCCATCGTTTCGATTGTACAATGATTGTTGACATGAGTCTAGTGTCTCGCAAAAGCCCGATGGCTTTTCGCTGACGTACACGGTGCCGTCGGCGCCGACGCCGGTCAAGGAGCCCGAGGCGGTGGTGCCCGAGGTAGTACTCTACACGCAAATCGCATCTGATGGAGCAATAGGACGTGCGCTCGGAAGACGAGCTCGCGAACGACGCCGTGCGCGACCTTCTTGTCGCGCGCGTTGTCAAGCTCCAGGGCAAAGACACGTTCCTTGACCGCTGGACCGTGCTCAACGAGACGTACCCGACGCACCTGCCCCTGCTCCAGGTACTAGCGCCACCGACCTTTCGACGTGCTATAACGATTTTGCAACAGGCGCGGCTCCATCACTACAAGCACGACGCGCACGCCGAGGTTGTCGAGGCGGCCGACGCTGTGCTCGCAGCGATTGACGCCGATGCGCTGGCGGCCCACTACGGGCTCAAGCTGCTTCCGAACGACGCGGCGGCCGCCAAGGTGCGCAAGACCAAGGACGCTGAGAAGGCGGCGCTCGTGGATGCGCTGAGCCGCAAGGCGCGGGCGCTTGGGGCCGCGGGCGGCGTCGACGACTTCCAGGCTGTATTCACTGCGCTGCAGCAGTGGGCCGACGTCTCGGAGGCAGCGCATGTGCACGCGAGCTTGCTCCACCACGCGGCGCACCCGGGCTTGGCGTTGCAGGTAATACAAAGGACGCAGCTGGATCATCACTCGATACATTGATAATAGCGCCTCCAAAAGCTCGATGCACTCGCCATCGACGAGCGCGAAAAGCACTTTTCGCAGCGCGAGTTGTACAAGGCGCGTCTCGCCCTCTACACGTCGCTCGGGTGGGAACACTACGCCACGTACGCGGCCAACTGGCAAGTGCTCAACGCGCCGGCCGACTTTGCGCTCTTTTAGGCGCTTGATTGCGTTGGATTCGGTTTCAAGGCGATATCAACATGGCGTGGGATTGCACACAGCGCGTTATTTAGCGTCGACATGAGAAACATCGGTGGGGCTCAGAGCTGGAGGAGGCGCGCGGCTGCATCGACGCGCTCCTGGACCGACCGCAGCACTTGGACATGGTTGACGTTGCGTAGATCGAGGACCATGATGACGCTGGCGACGCGCGGGTTGACTTGGGGCTGCAGAAAGTACGCCTTGCGGTTCAACACATCAAAAATGACGGTTAAGAGCGTCCAGTTGGAGAGCTCGCCGGCCGCGTGGGACGTCGCATCGTGAAATATCGGGTACGACGGGTCACCCTGTACGGGCGATCGGTCGAGACCGACAAATGCGTTGAAAGAAATACCTGATCCCCAAGGACATTAAGGAGCGCTTGAATGGTGCGTGGTGGCGTGAGGTGCCGGTACCGCCGCAAACGATGGAAGCTGCTCGGCGACATGGGCTGCCGTAAGAGGAGCGTCTGGTACTGGTTGGTATGGAAAAAGGTTGGGTCGCCGGCCGCAATCTCGGTTACAACCGATCGGTTGAACGAGGCGACTTCGATGTTGGCGACGCTCCCGTGCACCGTGTCCATCAACTACGGCCGTCAGACTAAGCGCTACTTACACCCTAGAGACGGACCTGGATGTTGTGGCCCGTGGCTTGGTTGGGCTGCGTCACGCGCGCAATGGCGTCTTCGTAGCTCCTAGCTGCCAAGAGATCCCGCGACACAAAGCCGCGCCCAAGACCGTTCGAGTCAATGTCCAAGGGCTCAACATCTAGACAATACCACCATGGACCCCTCGTATAGATATCGAGCGGCGTACAGTTGAGGGAGAAGGCGACGCCATTGTCATTGGCGCCAAATGCACCGGACGGCAAGTCGCCGAGGTACGTGTACGCGGTGAACCACGCGTTGCCTTGGATTTTGGCCGTGACGACTGCTGTCCGATTGACGTCCCTAGCACCGGCCACTGTAGCCGACACGACAGGCAAGCGAGACGTACGCGAGGCCGCTGTCTTCGTTGTGGGCTACGACACACGTGTTGGTCGTATGCAGTACAATGTCGGTGCAGTGGACTGCCGGCGCCGGGCGAAGCCAATCGTCGGTCAACGCTACGCGCATCGACGTCGTGTACTCTTCAATGATGTTGAGGATGAAGAGCGTCTACCAACGCTCCTCGCAGTCGTAATACGGTCGATGGTATCAGCGTACCGAGAAGGCGACCGCGCTGCCATGGGCCATGCCCAGCACCTCCTCCACATACGCCTATGGTAGCATGAGTATGGACACGCCATCGAGGGCGATCGTGCCGGGAACGTTCGGTTGTGCGTCGCGAGGTACGTATTGTAGATGGCTTCGCCCGCCGGCGTCGCGTAGAAGGGCAGCAGCGTCGCCTGCAGCGCCGTGGTCGCGGCCACGCGCGCTTGGATCGTCTCACGAAAATGTTCGCCGAGCGCGAGGCCAAACTCGTAGTGCGAGTCGCCTTCGTACTGGAACCATGGCAGCGTGTAGGCGTCGTCGGCGACAGCGGCGGCGACGAGCGCGAGCAGCAGCAGCCCGATCATCCGCATCGTTGTTGGTCCCAAGTCTTTTCTTGCTGGATCCAAACAGTCAGCTTGCCCTTTCTCCTCATTGGTCGAAATGAGCCAATCAGAAATGGCTTTCGACCGACGATCTTGGCGAAGACGTCCAGGACGCAAGTGGAGCGGACTGCAACCAGTCGTTCGTCTGGCGACAGCCTTGCGCCAGATCGACGACTAGAGTGATCGCAACGTACCAGCTAGAGATGGCTAGGTACCAGAGTGCACCAGACTTGCGCGAGAAGACGGAATAGGGAACGGCGCTGGTGGGCACCTTTGACAATGTAGCGTACTGTCGACGAGTTCAAGCAGCGTACTCGACGAGCAAACATGCCAGCTCGAGCCGCATTGCCGATTGTACGCAGATGACGAGTGCCACTCTACGTGGACCTTAGCATGGGGCATGGGGATATCTCGGGGTTCCGTAAAACTAGTGTCTAGTCAAGTGGTGAAATATGTACCGAGACGACACGATTAGCAAGCAGCTGCACACCAGCCTGTGCTCGCGGCGTTGACGGTTCGTGGCCTCTGCACTGTAGTCGTTTTGCGCATTCAGCGTCGTCCATACCGTCACGCGGACAGTACGTAGACAGGTCGTCGGCCAGCTTTCGAGCTGCGACCCGTCACTGCTTGTACTTGGAGTTAGTCCTGGGTGCGGTTTTGCATCGTTGGAGCTTACCACGACTTGGCGTTGGCCAATGCCACACAGAAGACGCCAACCTCAATGGCGCACCGTCCCCATACCACCAAAGGATGCAGTCTCGCTTTCACTGATTCACACCATTCACAAGATCATCCGATAACAGAATCATTAAATGCAATTAACGAAATCTCCCGAGAGTTGCGCCTACGCTGCCGTGACGACTCACGTTTCCTAGCATGTATTAGAAGAGGATCGTGCTTGGATTCGGGATTACCTCGGGCTCCGACTTGACGCGACGGCGCGTGGATATGGCTGTCGTGGGGACCGTCGGCGGGGTCTAGACAAGAAAGCTGGAGATGAAGTCGACCATTCCGGGTGCCAGAAGTACCCGAGTCTTTCGCTTGCGAGTTGGTCTCGAATTCGGCTTGTCCACGCGCTGCGGCCGAAGGAGCAGCGTCTCGTCTGGGCGGCTATTGCTGCGCAGGGGGCGCTTTGCTGGCCGCGGGTCGTTGACTTCACCGCCTTCGCGCTCGACGGCTTCGCGCTTGACGCTCGCCGCCGACCGGCATGCGACAAATGCATGCCACGCTTCGGTCTGCGTGGGGACCGGTAGCTCGGAATACTTCTTGTAGTTGTTCAGCCTACGAGAGATAGTACATAGTACGGGCTGTAGTGATCGAGACGAGTACGTACTCGGCGAGAATCGAGCGTGACGGCAAGGCAAAGAGGCGTTGAAACTCAGGGATCACATATTTGACTTGCTTGGCCATCTTGGCGGAAACGCTCGCCACCAGAGCAAGGTGGTCGTTGAGCTGTTTGAGCGTGTCCAATTCGGGCTCCGTCCACTGCACGTTGGGGTTGAGTCTCCAGCCCAAGGCGTGCGTCTCGCAGTTTCGCGCGATCTTGAGCAGTGAGGGAATTCTCGTCTTGACAACGGTGGTGCACTTATGTTGAAGTCCTTGTGCAGGCCAGAGCGTAACCAACAACGAAATGACCAGGCTGAACGGTGGTCTGGCCATCGGAGCCGTGGGCGGCGGCGTCTCGTCGCTGGGCCCAGGCGTCGATTGTGGGTCCATCGTGGCGCTGGCAATCCTAGTAGAGATGACCAAGGTTGGAGAGACGATACGGCGAGAACGACAACGTACTGATGTTCAGGCTGCATCGACGCCAAAGGCTGCGTCTTGGGGGGCTTGGCCTTGAAACGACTCAACCTATTTGTCATCACACAAGTTGGAGCAACCAGGACGAGTACTATGTTGCGTACTTTGTGCCAATAACCCGTGAAGGCGAGGCCAAAAAGTTCTGGATATCGCCCATGATGGCCGTGGCAGCCTCGGGCAACATGTTGGCGACGCTGCCGGAAAGCGTCGTGAACGTGTCAAGCTCTTCGTCCGTCCAGTCGTGATCGTCAGCAAGTGTCCAGCACTGGGCGCCTTCGCTGAAGCTGTAGCTGCAGTGCAGCGCCACCGCCTCCAGCAGCTTTCGGATGCGCTTCACAGTGGCCGTGGCACGGCCCCACGACACCGTCGTCGGAAAGGCCTTGACAAGATGCGCCATCGCGCGATGATCCGCGAGACGCGCTGCGCTCACGGGATCGATCGCCATCATGTTGGTCGCCTGCTCAATCATTAGACACTGGACAGGGCGGTCGCATGTGTGTACCTGGCTGGGAGGTGGGCGTTCGTCCGCGAGAGGGCGCAGCTAGCCATAGATGACCTTGGTCCCTGGTCGCCGCCATCGACAAGGTCGCCTACCTCCGTCGACTGCAGGGCCGGGTCATGTCGGGCCATTAGCACTGTTGGGTCTTGAGCACTGGAACGCTAAATCGACTGTGATGGATCTGCAATCTGGTCAAGACATCTGCTTGAGCCATTGGGTGCGATGATCGACCTTGCTTTGGATTGGCTGAGCATTTGAAGAAATGACGTTGATTGGTTCCAATCATCGAAGCGAGCAGGGGATGTCGTCCACGTTGCCGATACAGTCGGGAGAGACAATGTCCCTTGGAGTCGTTACATTCATGTACATTGTCTATAGTCTCGTCACGTAATCTACTACGTAGTAGTACGTATCGCATTCAAATATAGCACGTGGCTTCGACTGGAGTGACTTCGACTGGAGATCGTGCAAGAACGAACTGCTTCAAGGGCGATGGGGCGGATGAGAAATATAATTGCATAATGGAATAATATTATTGCGTCTCAATTGTATTCGACCTGTAGAAGCAAGAACCAACTTTTTTATTCCCTGGACTTGGTCGCATTATAATAGTACGAGGACGCCAAGCCATTATAAATGCACTTCCCATGGAAACTTCAAGTCGACTGACGACGATCGTCGAACGCGAACGGCAATGATGACGACGGCCGCGTCCGAGAAGCCAGTGACAACGCTGCCGGCGACGCCGGCGACAGAGCTCAAGCGACAGAGTAAAGAGATTGATCGACTAAACGGCTCTCCATAGTTTATAAAGCACAGATACGAGATTCGACGTGACTCGTCCTCTGGGATGGATTGGTCTCAACGTGTACTATCCAAAGGGCCATCACATTGGCGACCGGCAACTTCAACTATAAAGTGTCAGAGACAACCGATATCGAGTTTCAAAGGTGCAAACGCAGACGATGCGATTGGTGGTATCTTTGGAGCGTCAACCAATGGCATCGCGAGGCAAGTCAGGTGCGCAA